CATCCCAATACTCATGTACATCTACCCTATTCTTCCTTTCCTAGGTGGGTCCTAGGTGGGGCGGCTATGCCATCCCAATATTCATGTACATCTACCCTATTCTTCCTTTCCTAGGTGGGGCGGTTATGCCATCCCAAAGTTAACTGTACATCCACTCCTCCTCCCGGATATCATCAAAACTCAACGCAGCAAATCGGATCTCAATAAAGCTGTTATTATACCCGCATACAACGGGGATGCAAAAAAATCAGAAATGATGATTTTCCGCGTGCCTATGGACACTAGAGTGTCTATAATACGACACGAAATGAACAACAAACACATAATCGGTCAGTCGACTCAATCACAATCGCATGGGATGTTGGTACCAGAGCACACGCTAGGCATATCCCAATACTTGCAGTAACTACCGGCCTCGATAGAATTACAGAAAGGATCGCACTGAAGTGAAGATGTAGTCACAACTGGAGTGTGGTCAGCACTGGTCTGAGAGGATCCGGTTGTCTGATGAGAAGCCTTGGTGGTAGTAGGAACTTCTTCATCACAACTACATGGTAGATTAGTCTCCGAACAGACGCTCGGATGTTGCCACGATTTACAGTAGGTTCCACTCCAGACAGAATTACAATAAGCATTACCAGCGGCACATGAATCCGAACTTGCAGCAGTAGTAACCACAGCCTCGGCAGTAGTGGTCCGGACTGCTTCGGTGGTGGTAATCTCTACAGGTTTGGTGGTGCTAGATCCTTGAGTACCGGTAGAAGCCTCTGCGGTGGTAGTTTTGGGCTCTTGTGCAGCAGTTGTTGTATAAGCAGGGCCCTCCGTGGTAGATGCACCACAGGAGCACGGCATGTTATTGCCAAAGCATGTGCTTGGAGTTGTCCAATACTTGCAGTAGCTACCAGGGGTAATCGATGAACAATAAGCATCACAGGTCAGTGAACTCCCACTGGTGGTGGTCTCAGCAGCAGCGGTGGTCTCAACAGCAGCAGTAGTGGTCTCGGCAGGAGCAGTAGTGGTCTCAACAGCAGTAGTAGTGGTCTCAACAGCAGCAGTAGTGGTCTCGACAGCAGCAGTAGTGGTCTCGACAGCAGCAGTAGTGGTCTCGACAGCAGCAGTAGTGGTCTCAACAGCAGCAGTAGTGGTCTCAACAGCAGCAGTAGTGGTCTCAACAGCAGCAGTACTGGTCTCAACAGCAGCAGTAGTGGTCTCAGCCGTAGTGACCGGTAAACCCGTAGTCACAGATGGGCATTGACACCAACCAAGGAAACGGAAGTCAACTTGAGTGTTGTAATCCTGCATCACAATTTGACCATCATTAGGGACGAAATTGACCAAGTTACCCTTGTTCGCTGTACATATCTGATTATCATCTAAGCCACAACCGCATCCACCAGCATACAATTCACCCTCAGAAGTTGGTTCATCCAAAGGCTTCCTGTAAACAGCGTCCTCACCATGTCTATAATAGAGATAATTATCAGGCGTAACAGTAAAGCCTTCACTACCAGGGATGCCAAGATTGACGTACATTTTCGAGGCCTGATAAGAGTATGGCAACCAAGCAGTGACACCAGTGTCGACACGAATGTACATATAAGGTGCCAAATAACGGATGCTCGTAGGTTTGTTGAGACCCTCAGGACTATCATAAGGGATACCCCTAATAAGTAAATTATTAGGGAGACTCACTTGAGAACCGGCAACCCAACCAAGTGTCTTCCAACCGGTACCATAAGGAATACGTTCGAAACCGAAGACGCCATTCCAAGTGTTGGCAGTCACATACAACCTGTCGGGGTTTCCAGCTGCATATGCAAGGCCAGTGTACCCCAAGTACATATTATCATTAGCAATAACTCTGATGCTGTTGTAGACCAAAGTACTGATGACAATCACCCTCTCCTCACTGATGGCGTAGACTTCAGAACCATCAGGGTTGGCTTCTATGTCGGTAATCGGATGTTCAGCCAAAACTTCATAGGACGACAGGTCACATGATGTCCTCCACAGCCTCGACTTCCCATCGGATTGAGTACCAGCGATATACCAACGACCAGCATTATCAAAACTGTATGCCACCACATTCACATCCCCCATAGGGAGCATGTTCGGATAGTCACTTCTGTCTACCGAACAGAAGTCAGCAGAACATTGCTCGGACAAGCCTCTCAAAGGGGCCGAGAGAGGGGAAGCATTCGCGATAGCCACAACCAGTGCAAAAGCAAGCGGGAGCAGATAAGAAATAGATATCATTGTCAAAGGACGAAAACGATACTTAATTTGCCACGGTAATCGCTGCAACAATCCCTAGCTCTAGCGGCTCCATCGCACATAGTATCCTCCAAGCATTGGTCTACACACGAAGGAGCCATCACACGGTACGTCGCATGCTCCACAATGTGTGCTACCATTCCTTGAAGACTTTGAGAATCAGCGGACGGATTTTTGTCGGGCTCCATCTGATCACAGCATCGTGACCGATCCAGCTTGAGCTCTGTCAGTTCTCTCAATGAATGTTGATCTTGAATATTCTATTCTTTTTATGAGTCTTACCGATATCACATCTGCCCATCACTCAGGTTTTTGATGTATGGAGGGCTCGTCACCACATTCTCAGACGATTCATCAGTATCCTCTCAATCGTGCAGTCTGCTTCTGTAAGCATAACCGCAAGTGAACTCGGTGAGAGGCTCTTTTTCGCTGATCCCTCAGATTTTCCTTCACTGGAAGCGTATGACGTCTAAAATGAATACTCGAGAAGGAGCAGCAAATAGGCTTGCATCAGCGCTACGGCATATCTCTGTGTCCAAGTTGAGACATGCAGTAGGCCCATTCAGATGCTCGGTTCTTACAGTCAGAACGCTTATGTAGTTACTCCAATGGCGCTATGCTGTGGGAGATACTTTCAGACTTCACCATTTATTTACTGCTATTCAATCGTCCTCAGTCAAAGTCTCGAGAACTTCTCCAGGTAGGGATGAACTGACGAGTTTCAACAGCACCATTCGCTCTGTTTTCTCTTAGGGATCCCATTTCGTCTGTGGAGGATGCTGCTGCAGAACAGTAGACTGTTGAACCGAGCATCCGAGATCCTTCGACGTGCGAGGCATGAATGCTTGAAAACAGCTTGCTTTGTCAACTGGCATTGCTTGGCACTACGGAGAGACGTACGTCTTTTTTCTCGTTCAGACCTTCCTTACCTTACGAGTGGTTCTCTATTAGGCCCACCACATGGCTGCTCACAACCACGAGCAGTCGAATGCGCTACTCGTCATGGCGTTGCGATGGTGGTACCATCAAACGTCGTCGCGAGGTTTATACGAATTCTTTCATCCAAGTGTTGCCAGGCATAGCGCTCAGGTGCTGTGTGTTCTACCAGTGATGACTGCTTACGCCGTGCAGAGAAGATCTCAACGTTCTATCATCATTTGCCAAGACCGTTTCAGCGATGCTCGCGAGCATTGGAGTATATAAGTTTGAGAGAGTTGAGCATCTCACTGTATCAACTTGGACAATTCGGAAGAGACAGAGTTTACCAAGTCAGTTGACTGTTGTTCGCCTCCTACAGGCTCCTCGAGTAGGTTCGAGTATGGTGCGAATGGAAAAGGATCGCTGGCGAACGCCGAATGAAATTGAGATTGAGAGCATCACGGCGGCTACTCGACAGTCTTCATACTGACCACCATCGCTTTATCCTCCTTGCCTCTTGTGTATGGCATGTCTGAAGCACAAATATGTTTTTGCATATTTCCTTTAGGTGCGCCAATGGCAGAAGTTCTGGTTGATATCACGCACAATGAGGCAGGAAGAACTCCTTCGGGGTGCTGCGTCCGAGTTGAAGCTATTGAGAGGGGAAGTTCGAGAGGCTGCCGATAGAGCGAGGCATCTGATGGATGGAGATTGACAACATATACACTCCATGTTGACTGGCGGCGGCTCTCTCTATTCGAACTGCTTCTGTAGTGTTTGCAGTGCTGCTGATTGGTACAATGCCAGAGCTGACTCGTGTTCTCGAGACTCTCAGTCGTTCCTGTATTCCGTGGACGTACTGGGCACGACCATGAAACTCTACTTGCGATAGCAACGATTGCATCGCCCGAGAATTGAACTCGGATAATCTGATTAGTTGACAAATATCCTAACCATTAGACCACCTCCTTGACGTGTTGTCGTCAACCATCTCGCGGCCAAGAGTCTGATTAGGCCTTAAACGCGTACCTGAGATCGCGAACTGCTACTATATCTCTCGCATGGTAGGCAGCATTCCATCTCGATTGATAACTCCAACTGGTAAGGTTCTCATCGCATACTACAGCTAGCTCGGCACAAGCTGCACAACTTTTTCGTGACATCGAAGTTCCTGCTTGCAAGCACATTTTGAAACCGCATGCGGCGGCTCGTGAATTTGGGCTGTTGGTTCATCTCCGCAACGCGTTCTGAGGTACCGGGCGGTCATTCATCATTCCTGCAAGGAGTTCTGCTCTAGGTGAATAGCTCTTTTCTATGCACGGACAACGCTTTATTGACGTTGTTTTTCCCCTGAACTGGCACGGTTGGGCCAATCGCACGGAATGATACGAAAACACCGTTTCTGTTTAGTGGAAATTTTTCGGTAAGACTGATCTATGCAGTCGGTAAGCTGCACCTCTCAGTTTAATAACCATCTCGAGTGTATTGTGATGAATAGCAGCTCCTTGTTTCGATCAAGGGACCTTTGGGTTATGAGCCCAACACGCTATCCACTGCGCCAAGCTGCTCATGCGTAAAAACTCCTGTATCGCCCTGACGTGCTGAGCATAACTGTTCCACGATAGCCTAGAGACCCCACTCTCGTTAATACGAACTGCACCGCCCGGGAATCGAACCCGGACCATCTGCTTGGAAGGCAGATATCCTAACCATTAGACTAGCGGTGCATATCGCCTATGTAGTGACTGAGTATTCCTGTGATACTTGTAGAGGGGCATCTGAATCCCTTCTTGGACGTACCGTCGTCAACCATCCCGCGGCCAAGAGTCTGTTTGGGCCTTAAACGCGTACCTGAGATCGCGAACTGCTACTATATCTCTCGCATGGTAGGCCGCATTCTATCTCGATTGATAACTCCAACTGGTAAGGTTCTCATCACATACTACAGCTAGCTTGGCACAAGCTGCACAACTTTTTCGTGACATCGAAGTTCCTGATTGCAAGCACATTTTGAATCCGCATGCGGCGGCTCGTGAATTTGGGCTGTTGGTTCATCTTCGCGACGCGTTCTGAGGTACCGAGCGGTCATTCATCATTCCTGCAAGGAGTTCTGCTCTAGGTGAATAGCTCTTTTCTATGCACGGACAACGCTTTATTGACGTTGTTTTTCCCCTGAACTGGCACGGTTGGGCCAATCGCATGGAATGGTACGAAAACACCGACTCTGTTTAGTGGAAATTTTTCGGTAAGACTGATCTATGCAGTCGATAAGCTGCACCTCTCAATTTGATAACCATCTCAGGTGTATTGTGATGAGTAGCAGCTCCTTGTTTCGATCAAGGGACCTTTGGGTTATGAGCCCAACACGCTATCCACTGCGCCAAGCTGCTCATGCGTAAAAACTCCTGTATCGCCCTGACGTGCTGAGCATAACTGTTCCACGATAGCCTAGAGACCCTTCTCTCGTTGATACGAACTGCACCGCCCGGGAATCGAACCCGGACCATCTGCTTGGAAGGCAGATATCCTAACCATTAGACTAGCGGTGCATATCACTTATGTAGTGATTGAGTATTCCTGCGATACTTGTAGAGGGACATCTGAATCCCTTCTCGGACGTACCGTCGTCAACCATCCCGCGGCCAAGAGTCTGATTAGGCCTTAAACGCGTACCTGAGATCGCGAACTGCTACTATATCTCTCGCATGGTAGGCCGCATTCTATCTCGATTGATAACTCCAACTGGTAAGGTTCTCATCGCATACTACAGCTAGCTCGGCACAAGCTGCACAACTTTTTCGTGACATCGAAGTTCCTGCTTGCAAGCACATTTTGAAACCGCATGCGGCGGCTCGTGAATTTGGGCTGTTGGTTCATCTCCACAACGCGTTCTGAGGTACCGGGCGGTCATTCATCATTCCTGCAAGGAGTTCTACTCTAGGTGAATAGCTCTTTTCTATGCACGGACAACGCTTTATTAACGTTGTTTTTCCCCTGAACTGGCACGGTTGGGCCAATCGCACGGAATGGTACGAAAACACCGTTTCTGTTTAGTGGAAATTTTTCGGTAAGACTGATCTATGCAGTCGATAAGCTGCACCTCTCAGTTTAATAACCATCTCGAGTGTATTGTGATGAATAGCAGCTCCTTGTTTCGATCAAGGGACCTTTGGGTTATGAGCCCAACACGCTATCCACTGCGCCAAGCTGCTCATGCGTACAAACTCCTGTATCGCCCTGACGTGCTGAGCATAACTATTCCACGATAGCCTAAAGACCCTTCCCTCGTTGATACAAACTGCACCGCCCGGGAATCGAACCCGGACCATCTGCTTGGAAGGCAGATATCCTAACCATTAGACTAGCGGTGCATATCACTTATGTAGTGATTGAGTATTCCTGCGATACTTGTAGAGGGACATCTGAATCCCTTCTCGGACGTACCGTCGTCAACCATCCCGCGGCCAAGAGTCTGATTAGGCCTTAAACGCGTACCTGAGATCGCGAACTGCTACTATATCTCTCGCATGGTAGGCAGCATTTCTATCTCGATTGATAACTCCAACTGGTAAGGTTCTCATCACATACTACAGCTAGCTCGGCACAAGCTGCACAACTTTTTCGTGACATCGAAGTTCCTGATTGCAAGCACATTTTGAATCCGCATGCGGCGGCTCGTGAATTTGGGCTATTGGTTCATCTCCGCAACGCGTTCTGAGGTACCGAGCGGTCATTCATCATTCCTGCAAGGAGTTCTGCTCTAGGTGAATAGCTCTTTTCTATGCACGGACAACGCTTTATTGACGTTGTTTTTCCCCTGAACTGGCACGGTTGGGCCAATCGCATGGAATGGTACGAAAACACCAACTCTGTTTAGTGGAAATTTTTCGGTAAGACTGATCTATGCAGTCGGTAAGCTGCACCTCTCAGTTTGATAACCATCTCGAGTGTGTTGTGATGAATAGCAGCTCCTTGTTTCGATCAAGGGACCTTTGGGTTATGAGCCCAACACGCTATCCACTGCGCTAAGCTGCTCATGCGTAAAAACTCCTGTATCGCCCTGA